CCCCAGCAGCCTTTCCAGATGTCTTGGAACTACAGTTCCCAGAGTGCCCTTGGCCATGCTGCCTGGGGATTCTGGGAATTATCATCCCAACAAATCTGAGGGTGGGAGACCAGAAGACTAACCTAGCGGGTAAAACCGTGTAACAAATAAAAAGGCAGAAACGTCATTGTTGCATGGGAAGGATGGCAAAGGAACAGGATGACTTGTTTCATTTCTCCTTTCAAAGAAGTTTGCAATTATTTTTAACCCAGCCTGGAATGAGGGAGTTTATTACACAGGCTTGTTGTGGCGGAGTTGGTCAAACATCAGCCTACAGAGCAATTATTAAATGCAAGACATGTGAGGCCTCTGTAATGGCAAGGAACAGACCTCGTAGCTACAGGCAGTTTGCAGCCAAAAGCCAGCTGTTCGCTTATCTTCCAGAAAAATAAACCTTCCAGCTATTTTCCAGATGCCACTGTCAACCTCTGATTCAATCATCCTGAACTTTGATTTCAATGTTAGGGCAGGTTACTTTAGGGCACAGTTTGAAAGGGAAGGCAAAATGTTTTCAGGAAATCAAGTGGCTGGATGCAATGTTGTCTTTGGGGAGAACATTCCTGAAATGCCCTTCTGAATTAATTGCCACCAAAGGGTTGAATGAAACTTGTTTTAATGAGCTGGAGAGCCTTTGCGATTGCCAACGTTTGAGTCAGCCTTGCCTTCAAATTTTTTATTTTTATTTATTTTATTTAACAGATTTGTACGGCCACCCGTCTAAAATCAGAACTCCGGGCAGCTCCCAGCAACAAAAATCTTTTTGTTCTTTTTCATACACTATAACTTTAGATACTCGGATCACTATAACTTTTTCTGGCATAAAGAGCATATTATTTTATTATTTTTGGTGCTCTCGGACACTTCAGCAAATGAGGGCTAGAGGGAAAAAAGTTAGTGAATGATAACCAGTTGCCAGCTTTGCAGCCAGACACTGTAGCCCTCTTTTAATAGTTGCTTGATCTTCATCAGATGTTTGATGGCGCCTCTCCATCCAGTGGAAGCAGATATCCCCATTGGTGCAAATTTGCACAAGAGCAAATGAGGCTGTTTTGCGATCAGTTGACAGCCTGGAATAAGGTAGCTAATCTGTATTACATGAGCTTGTGAATAGCTGTGAGCATCTCCTGCTGGAAATGCTTTTTCCTTTTTAATCGTTTCAAGCCAGGCAGAAGTTCAGCAGGTGCCACTTCTTCTAACTAGGTATGAGGAAAACAGTCGCCTGCTGATTTTCTACCACAATAAAAACAGAAGCACAAGATACACCCAGAAAAAGAAGACGGGGTAATAAACTCAGAACAACTGGCCAAAAAGGGCATTTCCGTATACTTTTATGCACTGATTTGTACTTTTCAGAGGAGTGTGTACAAAGGAGTTGGTGCAATGCAGATTCCTGCACATACATAACTCACAACCTCCCCCCCCAAAAACAAACAGTTTTGTGGAATTGAGAAAATTCCCACAGTCCAATATCTTCCTTTCTGAGGTGACCAGGAGGGGGCAAAAATTCTCGTATTCTCCTCACGGCCCAAAAGTTTAGGAGTAGCTAGTATCCTTCCTCAACTTCTATGATCGAGGGGAAAAAATGCAAAATTAAATATTTGCCCCCCACCCCCTGCAAAAATACAGTCCTGTAAACCCATGAGAGAGAGAACAAAAATCTGAAAGGGTTTTGTTAGGACCAGTTGTAATATCACTTCTGGCTGAAACTTTTCAGCAGTTTGGCAACTTTAAGATATGTGGACTTTAACTCCCAGAATTCCCATTGCACCAACTCCTTTGTACACACTCCTCTGAAAAGTACAAATGCTGGCTGGGGAATTCTGGGAGTTGAAGTCCACATATCTTAAAGTGGCCAAGGCTGAGAAACACTGCCTTAGGAGAGGCCATCCCCTTTATGAGTTCAGGATTCTTACTTTCCTTATTTGAATGTTTGTCAACTTTTCAGATTTTTGCACCTTCATCCCACCCTAGGCTGTTTGCAGCCCTTGCCAAGCATGTGAAGAGTTTAAAAACGGTCCCCTCGCCCATTCTACGGGCACAGGAGGCCACCAAAACAGGTGTCCCTGATAAGGGGACCCTGCAGCTGGCAACCTTGATGTGATTTGGGTTCCAAGGTGGCAGGGAGCGGACAGGCCTTGTTCTAAGCCAGGGGGTGCACACAATCACCCCCCCTTGCAGACCTGTCTAGGTCACCCCTCCACGTCCAGGAAGAAGTAGGTCTCGGAGCCAGCCCTGCCGTTAGGCAAAGTGCTGAGCTTGTTATCTCGTGTGGAATAAAGGTGGGGGGGCAACAGTCAGGCTTGGGAGGGCAGAGCTGGACACGAACCAGCTGTCAGTGCCCCCCTCCCTCCGTTGCACGGTCAGCCCAGTTAGCAACTTTTCTCTTTTTCCAGTTCTGGGGAAGGGGAGCATCAGATGTCTCGGACCAGCTGTGTTGCAATTGTGTTGTCTTCTGCAAACCGAAGTGGTGTGTTTTGTTGGCAGCCTGCCCGAAGGAGCCTTCGAAAGCTCCCGCGACTCAGAGTCACAAGAACCAGATGGCCATTTGTCTAAGCTGCCCCATGTCAGATCCTGCTTGTGTTGACCTATTGTTTGACTGTAACTTTTGACCAACTAAACTCTCATGTGTCTTTCTGGGAAATTTGGCCCAATGTGTAGAATCACCTCTCCTGCCCTCCCTCCCCTCCCCTCTCTCAGATTAACAACTTAAAAACACACAGATACGCACACCATCACTTTGGGGTTCTATTCCAGTACTTTTCAAACTTGGCAACTTGAAGATGTGTGGACTTCAACTCCCAGAGTCCCCCAGCCAGCCATGCTGGCTGGGGAATTCT